TGAATGACATTAGTAAGGCTCCAAAAGTATTGATGACCTTGACGTCAGGGTGGACAAGGCCGTCACAGAGGAGGGTTTGCCCCTCGTCCTTGGGTTGCCCTCCGTTCAAGTGCCCACCCTCCCCACCTTTGCCCCCTGGGGAGGGTCTGGCCCCCTTCCTGCCCCTTCCTTCTCTCTCTTTCTTTGGGCTCAGGCGGAGGTCGGACATGGGCGGCCAAGGCAGAGCGTTCAGAGAAGGGGAAAGGAAAAAGAGAGGTGAATATATGAAAGGAAGGAAGGAAGGAAAGAAGGAAGGGAGGGAGGAGAGAGAGAAGAGGGTCCAAGGTGGTCGGCTCTCCTCCTGCCAGCCTTCTGCAGACAGACAGACAGACAGACAAGGAAAGGAATGAATACAGGAAGGAAGGAAGGAAGAAACAATGAAAGACAGAAAGGAAGGAATGTAGAAAGGAAGGAAGACAGAGACAGAAAGGAAAAGAAAGGAAAAAAGGAAGGAAAAGACAGGCAGACATGAAGGAAGGAAGGAAGGAAGGAAGGAAGGAAGGAAGGAAGGAAGAAGAGGACAGAAAGGAGAGAAAGAAAGAAAGAAGAGGGAAGGAAATACAGAAGGAAGGAGGGAACAAATACAGAAAGGAAGGAACGAAGGAAGGAAGAATGAAAGAGGAAGGAAGGAAAGAAAGAAAGGAAAGAAAAGTCAGAAAGGAAGGAAGGAAGGAAGGAAGGAAGGAAGGAAGGAAGACAAGAAGGAAGGAAGGAAGGAAGAAACAAGAAAGACAGAAGAAGGAAGAAAGAAGAGAAGGAAGACAGAACAGAAAGGAAGGAAGGAAGGAAGGAAGGAAGAAGAACAGAAAGGAAGGAAAAAAGGAAGGAAGGAAGGAAGGAAGGAAGAAGGCAAGACAGGAAGGAAGGAAGAGGAGAAGGAGAAGACAGACGAAGGAAGGAAAGAAGGAAGGAAGAAGAAAGGAAGGAGAGAGAAGGAAGGAAGATAGGCAGAGACAGGAAGGAAAGAAAATAGAGAAAGAAAAGAAGAAGAGAAGGAAGGAGAAAAGGAAGGAAGGAGGAAGGAAGGAAGAAGGAGGAAGAAGGAAGGAAGGGAGGGAGAGAAGGGGTGGTTGCTGTCCTCCTGCCAGCCTTGTGCAAAGAAGGGGGATGCTGAGGCCTTGGAAAAAGAAAGGAAGGAAAGAAGACAGGAAGGAAGAAACAATGAAAGATAGGAAGGAAGGAAGGAAAGAAGGTAGGAAGGAAAGAATATAGAAAGGAAGGAAGGAAAGAAGGTAGAAAGGAAAGAATATAGAAAGGAAGGAAGGAATACAGGAAGGAAGGAAGATAGACACAGACAGAAAGGAAGGAAGGAAGGATAGACAGATAGAAAGAGAGAGAAAGAGAAGGGCGTCCTGGTCTCTCTCTGTCCTCCTTCAGGAGCTGGTTGGGCCCTCCCTCCTCCTCCTCCTCCTCCTCCTCCTCCTCCTCCCTGCTGCTGCTGCTGCTGCGCATTGCCTTGCCTTGCCTTGCCTTGCCTGCCTTCCTTCTGTGGGCGGAGAAAGGGGAGCCCCAAAGGCTTTGCGCAGGAGCATCAGGAGGAGGAGGAGGAGGAGGAGGAGGAGGAGGGTTGAGCATCCCCATCCAAGGAGGAGCCCTCCGCCTGGCCTTTCAGCACCAGGGAGAGCGCTCTGGACCCTCCTTGCAGGCCCCAGGGCGGGGGAGCCTGGCCGGACCCTGGGCGGCCCCCAGAAGGCATGGGCCCCAACCCGGGAGGGCCTGCCCCACACACTTAGGGGGCTCCCAGACCGGCCCCCAGGCCACCGCCTCCTCCTCCTCTTCCTCCCCGGCCCGCGGCCTCCATGGCGGCCCTCCTCCTCCTCGGCCTCTGCTTCCTCGCCCTCCTCAGAAGTGAGTACAGACTGGCCTGACATGCCAGGAAGACCCCCCCCCCCTCATCTGGGGAAGCCTTTCTTGGGGGGGGGGGCAGGAAAGCCAAACCCTCCCTTTCCTATAGGGAATGCTCTCCCACCAGGCCTTTCCCTTTTGGGCTTCCTCAGAATGTTGCTGGGAGAGAAGGGAAAGAAAATGGGGGGAAATGGAGGGGGTTGTGAGGGGTCAGCTGCCCTTTTTGCTTTGGAAAGGGTCTCGTATGTCCTTGGGGAACATGATGGGGGGCTCTTTGATGCCGACTCTTTAACACGCCTTTCTTTCCCACATCTATTGAGACCTCTGAGCGGTGGAATGGAAAGCCCCCCCCCCCACCAATGGGGTGGGGACCCCTTGGCCGGCCGGCCTGCCAGCCTTCTTCCCCGGTTGGGTCTCCCTCCCTCCAGGGAAATGGATTGTGAATTTTCGTAAGAGATGCTTTCCCCCTCTGCCTTGTCTTCAATGGTGTGCTCTCAATGCCTACGTGGGCCTTGCCTTGGTTTGGGGGCTTCTCTTTCTCCAGGAGGAGGTCTCCCCAGGGAAGCAGGAAAGGGAGCCTCTCTCCATCCATCCATCCATCCATCCATCCATCCAT